CACAAATCCTTGCAAACTCTCTCCTCCCCCATTGGAACATATTGTCATCTATTAAATAAGGCTTGCCAACTTTAGATGCAATCCTACAAATATTAATAGCATCCTAGCATTGCAACGGCAAACTAGGCATTCTAATCTATATTGGTGCAGTTAAACCCTTAGTGAATCTGGAGAAAACAAAGGAGACCACTTCTCCACTCCAATTATCTGTCCCTTAACATACCATGGTACATTTGATAGAACCAAATCCACCAATTCCTCATCATCAAAAGCACAAAGCATCCATCCCTTACCGAGCCAAGTAAGGTTAAATTTACCTAGTTGCGACCATTGCCTCTTAATTTCTGAATTAATAACATAAGGAGGAATGTTATCTCCAAAAACTTTGACAACCAGAGCACTTTAAAGTTTTTTTGTGTTCTCCAATTCATTCTTCTCATACAGCTTAATAGCTTCGCCATCTTCCGTCAAGTAGCTTCCAATTTCCAGATCAACAACTCTTCTATTAGATTTCTTGTTCCAAACATTAACCAGGCCATTACCTTCAGGTCCTTTATCCTTAGAACCCTCAGTTTTATCTTCCAGTTGTTTGCATGAATCACGATCACTAAATACGCATTGTCGAACCACCTCCAGATCTTCAATTAAGTTATTTTTACTACCTCTGTCATATACAATTGGAGCAATAACTTCCAAATCTTTAGCAATAACATCTTTTTTATTTGATACTTCCAGTGACTTATGACCTTGGAAGGCTTTATCAGTAATCATTCCAGTCCCCATAACTGCTTCTTTTTGTATAGACAACGAAGCAGATTGTCGAGACCTCCTTATTTGGAAATTTGAATTCATCTCCAAAGACGTTCTTGCTTTTCCCAATATCTTGAATAACCTTCTTTGTTTTTAACAATCCTCCTTTGATCGTTAGAGATTTACCTTTGTTAGCTTTCAAGCGAACACCATTTGTTACAGAATCTCCACCCAAGGACGAAATTCCCACAAATGCTGGAGGAGAAGATTTGAAAAATCCTTGAGGATGAATTACAGAGCCTCCAGATGTTAATTTATGATCAATCCTTGAAGCTAACTCAGACGATGACCGGCGATTAGTCGCCATCATCAGAAAATCCAGCCGTTGCGCCAATTTGAAATTTGAAAAAAAAAATTCTCTAGAAAATCCGCCCTAAGCATAGCTCATACTGCTAGTTGCCCATCGAATTTTTGGCACCATTTCACATATTAAGGACAATCTAGAGCCTAGTTTTGTTATCTTCCCATTTAAATGTATATTTGGATCTTTTTTAATGCCAAAAAGGGGAGTTTCTATAGTTGTTTATAGTATGTTTTTAGTCTCACTTATCTTAAGATAATGTTAGGACATATTTGTGCGCTTATTAGTATGCTTGTGAGAGCTTAGTATGGTACCCCATTGCTGATAATTTATTAATGCTTTAATTATTTATTGTATAATTCATCTACCTACTTGTGAATACATGTTACTAATCAGCAATTTTAACTTGATTATGTTGACTACATGTACTTACCTTAAATTGCTCTTAAATGTTAAAATATATACATAAATCAAGGGAGTATAACTTTGCCATGAAATTATTGTAAGAACTGGAATATCTTAAACATACAAAAATGCGAGATTGTTAAACCCATGAGCTTTAAGTTTCAATCATTATTTTAATGATCACAAATATAATTTAGTTAGTGCTAATAATTCTATTTAAGATTAGTGTAGGTGGAAGTTAAGTCTATTCAACAAAAGCTTCATTAAAATATAAATCAAGAATGTTGAAAATTGTTTCTCATTGAAATTGAAACTCGGGGACAAATCAACTTGAGTGCACCAAAATTCAAAATTCCAAAACCCATACTTAAATTTTTTTTTTAAACTTTTTATTACTTATTTATTAATTCATGAATTATTATATTAAAAAGTCTTGATGAAGTTTAGAATGATTTGCAAACACAAATTTTTAGCAGGAACTTCATGAAAATATATAACAAGCACAATAAAAATTGCACAATAGAAGTTAAGTCTTATAACAAACATAATTCGAAATTAAGTCTGTTTAGCAGGATCTAAGAGCTTCATGAAAAAATATATATAAAGCATGCTAAAATTGCATATGATTCAAATAGAAACTAATGACATAATAAGCTTGAGAGCATTAAATTTGTCATTCACAAAAACAAGCCTCTATAACAATAATTTATTTTAAACTTTATTTTTTGAGATATGAATTATTGCACTAAAAATTGTTGAAGTTTGGAATGAATTGGAAATACAAATAAAAATAAAAATTAATTTAAAGATTAATCCATATGCAAGTCAATAATTCAAAATTTTAACCAATCATATAATCCAATATATGATTGTATAGTATGATATGTATTAAATTCAAATCAAGCTAGTTGAATCAATCAAAGATTTATTTTAGTTAGATTCATCTGTGGATTGTACCAATCGTGCTATATGATCTTCAATTAGTGTTATGAATCAAATTGAATGAACTATAGAATCCCTGGTAGAATAGTACAATATTGCAATAATTTGAATTTTTAGTTAATATCTTTTTTAATTATTGATTGATTTTTTTTTTATGGTTGGCTATGATGCACCGACACTTCTCCTCAAAGAGGCGTGCAGTGTCCAACACCGTGTCCGACACGACATACACTATATAAAAAAATATTTTGCCGTGTCCGCGCCGTACCCGTGTCCTATATTTTCAAAAAAAGCCGTGTCCCGTGTCAGTGTCGTGTCGTGTCCGTGTCCGTGCATCATAGATGGTTGGTTAATGTTATGATCTGTTAATGAACATAAAAACATAGAATAAAAAATAATATAATATTAGAAACCCCTTTGAGGAGATATAGAGGAAAAAAAGAAAAGGTTAAGGTTCTCCTTTCTATGCACCCCAAGTCACTCTTTTTCTTCTAACTTCTCTACTTGAAAAGTCAATTTTGTGAGCTTTGTTTATTGCTTTTGATAAAGAGATACTTGATTTTAACATGTTCATCTCTGCTAAGAGGAAATTGCCAAGCCAATTGTGTTAGGAATGATCGATTCCACAACTTGAAGTTAGAATATTGGGGCGTACTAGATTATGCTAGTAGTAGCATGCTTCTTGATTTGAGTAGAAGCATTGGGTGATTCATCATCCGTTAAATAGATATTGTTCATGAGGCTTATCCACCTGCGGTTACAAAGAGTCAGTGATAAATCTCAAGAGGACTTCGGGAGTTGATGTAACCTTGAGATGGCCAAACCACTTTAGATCAATTTGAATTATAGGTTTTACCTTTCCACGTTTCATTTACTATCATTTACATAATTGTAATTATTATCATCTTATTTTGAAAAAAAAAAGTAAGATCTATATTATAGCACATAATTACTATCTTCATAAGAAAGAAAGAAAGAAAATAGATCTATATCATTACTAATCGTCTTTATCTTGTGAAAAGAAAAGAATTTTATCATAAAATGATTTTTTAAAATGATCCCATTCATCCCCCTCGAGGTTTGCACCATCACCTTCACTTAATGTTGATCATACAAACCTGACATACTTAGGAGCTCCTTGGTCACTCCATAACTATAGCTAATAGTCCATGTTATCATACAAATCTTTAATTACTATAACAAATATTTGACATGCATCTTTTTTTAATGTATGCCAAATCAATTCTAATGATACTTAGTCATGCTCATTCTTAAGATGAAAAAAAATCTTAAATCACATGAAGAACTTTTTTTTTGTTCTCTAAGAAGTTATTTATTTGTAAGCATTTAGAATCATAGGTATTTTAAATATATTGTAAAGTAAATGCAGTGTATTTAAGATACTCAGAGCTATTTGATTGGTGATAAAATGAATTAAGATATCATTTTCTTTTGCTTAGTAGAAAATAAAATGAATAAAAAAAGAACCTAGGGCATGATAGCAGTGCAGTGCCAATGATATCTGAGGTGTTGAGAAGTTGGCTGGGATGGCTTTGCGGGTTAAGCAATGCTGGAGGTTGCACAATGTCGTGAAGAGAGATAGAGGTCAAGCATTAATGATGATGTTGAAGATAGATGTCACAGGGATGAATGATGTTGTGTTTGAGTTGTAGAGGCAAAGGTTGAAGGGACAAAGGCCTCTTGAGGTTAGCATGATCACAGAGATGGCTGGTATCTTATGCGGGCCTTGAGTGATCAATGAGTGATAAGTGGTTGGTTATCAAGTGAGTGATTAAGAGATAACGTGTGATGGTCTTGCAATATGATGAATTTTGAATTCACCTATTTGGACAAATTAAAAAAAAAAAAAAGGAGAAACCAAATCCATCAACAATTTACTTTGTATTTATTTTTCTTCTAACCAACACCTGAAATTTTAAAGCCAATGCATTTGATTTACTCTACAGTTCTAACACATCCGAATATATAGCCTCTAAAATATTTCAATAATTACCTTAGCACAAAAATTACATCCATATTAGATCTTCATGGTACATATTCAAATATATTATCTGACAGCAACGCAACTTTCCTGATCTTAAGTTTTGTTACCCTCTCTCATGCTAATTCATTGGGCAACTCGGATAGCTTGATTCCTCCATAACTATCATAATCTTAAACACCCCCATTTTTCTTGAATAATATAAAGTAGCAAAATATTTCTATGATAATTCAACATCATCTAACTCAAAATTTAATTAAAAATATATGCTTAACGAACTACTTCAATATCTCGCCCCATAATTCTCCAAATTTCAAGTCATCTCATATGGATCCAAAGTTTTACATGTATGCATCTTCTTTATACCAAAATACTTTTCCAATCATTTTCAAACTATTGCATCCTGCAAGTAACAAAAATCTACTCAAGCCCACAACATACATAGTGCTATAACCTAAGGCATCTTTACATGTAAATAGTGAATTATCAAGTAAAATGGAGATAAAAGCAAGGAAAGGAGATGACTTGAAGAAAGCTTACAGCAAACAGAACATTATTGGATAATTGCAAACTTCAACCCTTCCTCTCACCCTTCAGTTCCGGGTGCCTGTGTGCCTCGTTACAGCTAAGTTGCAGACGACCATTAAAACTACCAGGAAATTGGTTCTCCAAGGAACAACCCGCTGATGCTGAAATTGGAAGAGTAGCACTAAGAAAAAAGGGCAAGTTTGCACCGTGGACAAGTTGGTGGTGATGCGGTGAATTGGACTGAAGGGTCCCCCTACTAAATCCAGCAACGCCAGAAGAAATGGAGACATTGAGGTTATAATCTCCCCCAGGCGCCAACGCTGCCACAGGAATTGCATGATCCTGCATGAGAGAAAACTGCTGCATGTCCTGATGCTCTCCTGTATTGTATGACATCATCCCAATTCCCATATGAGGGTTGTTTCCAAAATGCAGAAGTGAAGAGTAACCGGGTTCAAATTGCGGAATTTTGGGTGTCTGCCCAAAGATGCCAGCTTGCTTGAAATAGTCGGCAGTGGAATTGGTCAGTGGCGGCCTCATTTGCTTCTGGTTTAAACCACTACTGAAATCCACTACTTCTGCAGCGATCCCGGTGCTGCTCCCACCGACCGTGAGAAGCTCAGTGAAGGAGCTCTGTTTGTTCAGGTTTTGATGCTGATATGCCACTTCCTGGTCCTTCTCCTTCTCCTTTCCAAATCCTTCGCACCTAGAGAAAGACAGTACCGAGCCCTTGCTCGTCTCCGATGCGCTGCTGCACGTGGACTTGGACTGCGAGAGGTGCTTCTCGCCGGCTGTGCCTCTCTGCATGGAACGAGCGGGAAGCTCCATGGACGGCGGCACGGGAAATGGGCCCACGAGTTCGGGGAGGTCGACAATAGCGTCGGCGGCGGCCTTGATGAGCCAGTCAACAGCCTTGCTGGGCTGGTCATAGCCAAGACGGTCTTGGAGGTCGTAGAACTGGATGGCGGTGGAGACCGAGAGCCGCACGCGGCGATCTCGAAGCCCCTTCACCGTCCAAACTTTGCTGTGACGGTCCTTACCTCCGGAGACGCGTGAAACCCTAATAATTCTCGAAGAGGCGTTTTGCCATGGACGGAGGTCACCAACGCCCTCGTCGTTCTTGTCCCTCCCGAGCCGCTTGCTCGAGTGGATCCCCTCCGCTTTCATCTTGCTGTCATGCCCTCTAAGCGGACCAGATAATTTTTACTTGGTTCCCTCTGCCCTTGCCCTTATCCTCCTCTCCTCTTCTCCTCGAAAGACAAATTTCCTTTGGCTTTTCACTTTTCCTGCTGCTTTGTCTGGAAAAGAAGTGGGGTTAGGGTTTTACCGTGGCCTTTTCCACTATCTGTAGCCCGCAGAGAGGGTAAGAAAAAGAAGGGCTTGTTTTATGCTCGATAAAGAGGTGTCAGCTAGCAGTTCCTTGCTTTTGACAGCGGCATCATTATCAGCCTAACTGCTCAGCTTGTGCGCAGCGACGCAGCAGCAACTCTTATCTCCACAGCGAACAGCTGCTCTATATACTGCGCAACAAATAAAGTTTTTTTTTTATACTTTTGAGCAAGTTTAATCTATAATACACACCTGACATGACAAAAAAATATTTTTAACATTACGGCTTTCCGTTCATCGCCGTTCCGTTGCCTAAAAGTTCAAACAAGCGGACAGAAATTCGAAATAAAAAGAGACATACAATTTTCGATTTTCGATCAGAAGGACAAAGGACATCTCGACTTCGCCGCTTAACGAAGATACTGCTTTATAGAATAGACCTACTTTCTTCAAAATGCCGACCATATGGGTTGCACGGCGCGAGATCGAACTGAGATAAATCTGCCATGAACGGAGCTCGACTACTCCAGTGAGATCGGTGCTGCAGCTGCCTTGTCTTTAACATCGCGAAAATGTTTTTGTGATAAAAATATAAAATGAAGGCACAAAGCGATAGATACCAGGATTCCTTCTGCCGATAACAACAAGATATCGCTTTATATCAGTCAGATCCATGCTTTGCGGTTTCAGAGCTCGATCGGCATCACTCCAGCGAGATAGGTGCTGTAGATAGCCTCCTCTTCGACATCGCGATTTCGGCGGGAAATCCTAACGTGAAGGAATTTCTTTATTTATTATTGTTTGAATTAAACTAGCAGGAGGGTCGGGATTCGAGCATCAAAGCCCATGTTTCCGGCGAAGCGACCGCCGGGAATTTCTTGGAAACGGAGAGGAGCGCGCCGTCCACCACCGTGAGTACAGTGCCGAGAAGTGTAATGGAACGTGGATGAATAAACCCCCCGAGTTCGTACAAATATCGGAGCTGCCACTCGTCACGTGGCGCGACAAAGCAATGAATGGCGTCAGGGCCGGTGCCAGCCGGTTGGACCCCACCGACGTTAAAACCTTGATCGGTTGTCAGCCGGAGAACAATTTGAGGTACCATAGTAGATAGATAAAGCCACACTTTGAGTTTCTATGTCCCATAATATTGGAGGTTGGAAAATAAATTCATTATTTTATTTAAAAAATATAAATATTTTTTTTTTTGTGAGAATTTGGGGTCTTAGCCCATTTCATTCAAAAATGAAAGAATTACATAAAGAAAATTGTCTACTAGGACAACAAACATGTAGCGGACAACAAATTCATATCAGCAAAAAGCTGCTTAACAAAAGAAACCTATAACAAAATGAAAGAAGTCAAAATCGGAAGGACTCAGAATAGCAATGGTCGTGTAGAGCTCCCAGGCAGCAAAATTCATCCAAAAGGATGTTGGGGTCCCCTGGCTACCGTAAGGCCATCCAAGATGATGAATAAAATGATTGTGTTCATCATCGTCCTTCAAAAAGGCAATTCCTGGTTGCCAATGGAGACCATTCAGGAACTGCAAAGGCTCGGTAAGTAGCACATGCATCGTCCAGATAATTTTCCTCAGCTGAAGAACAAAAATATGAAATTCTATAATATATGTGAGCGTTTCTACTTAGATGTTTTGAGATACATAGCACGTTTGATCTTGGCAACAGTGTGGAGTGACAATCAATAGAATTGCCAAATAACCTATCATTTCTAGCTCTCCAGATGTAGTAGACAATAGCACAAAGTAAGAGATAGCACATGTTCTTCCTACTTTTATCAATATCCCATTCATCAATATAGTGAAAAGCTTGCCATATATTAGGACGTAAAAGAATGTTGTTCATACGAGCAAAGACCTTCTTAAGGATATCAAAAGAATAATCACACTCAAAGAAAAGATGATTGTGGCTTTCCTCAATGATCTGGCAGAAGGCACATAAGGGGTTAACTGATAAACCCCTTAGAATCAAATTATCAGAAGTTTTGAGACCATGCCTAAAAGCCATCCAAGTGTAAATAGAAAAACGCAATGCGTAATGTTTATGCCAGACGAGCTTATACCAAGGCACAGTTTGACAATCCAAAAAGAAGCACTTGTGAAAAGTTTTAAAATAGGGTTTAGCATTGTTAGTCCAGTAACAGTTATTTAAAGAGTTGGAGATAGAAATAGAGGTGATAATGTCTACCAAATGAGTCGATATAGCAAGGGGTAAAGTCCATCTCCCATTAGAAAAAAGAGAGCTAACAGTTAAGTTGTGAGGGCGAATCAGGTGTTCTAGATGTTCATGTTTCAACCTCTCAGCCACAGAAGAACCAAAGCACCAAGGTTCCCAAAAGAATGAGAGGGAAGGGCTGTCAGTGAGTCTAAATTGTATAGAATCTGACAACTTAGTGGCCACCTCACACAAAAATTTCCAGTGAACAGCAGCTCTCTTACTACCAGTGTTCCAAAAAGACACATATTTGGCTTTCCACCAAAGAAAAATATAGCTATTAATGTTATAAAACCTCCATATAATAGAGCAACCAAAAGCATTATACAGAGAGTCAATAGAAGGAATGCCCAAACCCCCACAGTATTTAGGCATACAGGTATTCTTCCATGAGATAATATGAAGCTTTTTCTCGTGAATGTCCCCATAATACAAAAACTTGGAGCAAATGCTATTAATCACCTTCCTACAACCTTTGAGAATAATGGTGCTTCTAACCCAATAAGCCAGAATATTGTAGATAGTGTGTTTGAGGAATTGAAATCTTCCAGCAAAGGAAAGATTTTTAGCTTTCCAACCATCTAAAGAGCATTGAATTTTTTTCAAAAGAGGCTGAAAATCAGATTTTTAAGTCTCTTGTAGTAAATTGGGATGCCCAAATATTTGATAGTATAGTGAGCTAAAGAGATGTTCAAAGTATTTGAGATGGCCTCCTCATCAAGCACATTGTTAGAGAAAATAATAGTGCTTTTAGTGCTATTAACATAAAGACTCGAGATGCCAGCAAAACCATGTAATATACTATTGAGAGTATGAGCATTCTCAACCGTGGCCCTGCCAAAAACTAGCAAATCATCAGCGTATAGAAGGTGAGAAATATAAACATTACCAGTCCCAATGCCATGGAAGGAGTTGTTGAGAATGGCCTCCTCAAAAAAATCATAGAGACTATCCATGACCATGCATAAAAGATAGGGAGAGAGAGGTCATCCTTGTCTAAGACCAGAGGATGAGTTGAAATAGCCTTCAAGCGCCCCATTAATGGAAATCGAGAAATGTACATCAGTGATGCAACCTTTGATCCAAGAAATTAAGGTTGCAGGGGACCCTTTAGCAATCATACAATTAAGCAGAAATTCCCTAGAAACAGTATCGAAGCTTTATGGATATCATATTTTGCACAAAAATATTTATGTTTAGCATTAGAATTAAAATCCATAAGAAGATCAGAGGCTAAAAGAATGTTATCTGAGATGATCCTGTCTTGAATGAAACCCGCTTGGCTAGGGTGAATAAGGGAGGGCATAACCTCTCTCATCCTATTAGCCAAAATTTTAGCAATTATCTTATAAAATGTGTTGCAAAGAGAGATTGGCCTGTAGTAAGAAATGTTGCTGGCATGTGGCCTTTTAGGAATTAAGGCTATGGCAGTGGCCTTAACATGCTTTGGGAGAGAGCCAATAGAGAAAAATGACAGGATAGCCTCACATAACATTTGCCAATGATGTTCCAAGAGGTTTTGTAAAATTCAAATGTATACCCATCTGGGCCAGGGGCCGAAGAATTTTCGGAGGAGAAAACCACATTCTTAATCTCATCCATAGTAATGGGGGTGACTAATTGAGAAACAAGGTTATCAGGCAACCTATGATGTATAGGAGCTTCCCGACCATAGTTGTTAGGAGGAGAGGGGATGTTAAACAATTTTTGGAAATGGTGAATGATGGCTTTATATATCTTCGAATGAGTGTTGAAAGTCCCATCGACCATGAAGACAACTTTGATCAAATTGGTGTTGTGTCTAACATTAACTCGAGAATAGAGAAATTTGAGATTGTCTTCCCCATAAGACATCCATTTAGCTTTTGCTCTTTGGATAATCCAATCTCACCAATCAAAATTTCTCTCAGAAAGCTTTTGATTGGTAGTTTTTAAGGCCAAGTTGAGTTCAGGACCAAGGGGAGAAACCTGAAGGTGGGAAAGAATGGAATTTTGGCTGAGGCTTAACTCAGTGATTTCTCTGTGGAGGGAGTTTGAGGAAGACTAGTTCTTGGTCTTAATGTTAAGCTTGAGAGTCTTGAGCTTTTGGTAGAAGGAATGAATTGGGCTGCTATGAAATTTTTGTGAGAAAACAGAAATAAGTTCATCCCAAAACTTAGGTAAAGAGACCCAGTAATTCTTGAATTGAAACCTGTGTTTCTGATGGGGATTGTTATCATACTGCAAAATGATGGGTGAGTGGTCAGAAATATGTGGATCGTACACAATATAAAATGAATTGGGGTTGGTTTCAAGCCAGGCATCATTGACTAACATCCTGTCCAGTTTGATATGTATGGGATTTTCAGTTCTCTGATTGAACCAAGTAAAATAATGTCCCACCGTAGAAAGCTCATGAGCCCCAATATTAAAAATAAGATTTTGGAATTCAAAAAGTTTGTTATTGTGTAGCAGGGTGCCACCTGCTTTATCATGAGGAAATCTACAGCAATTGAAATCTCCTAAAATAATCCAAGGATAAGAGATATAAGTGGAAAGTTCAGAAATATTATTCCAGAGCATTCTCTATTCCTCCATAGAATTTGAGGCATAAACCACAGAAATACAAAAATTCTTGTTGAGGCCCGAAGTCACAATACCGTGAATCATCTGACTAGAGGTAAAAAAGAGGCATGAAACTCTCCTTAAGTGAGTTCCATTTAATCCAGATCCTGTCAGGAGAGGAGCAGGCAAAATTATCGTAAGAACTTTCTTAGGGAAAAATGGAGTGAGTGAAATGAGCAAAATTTTTACAGCACAAAGCTTTATCCGGGCTATTGAATCCACGGGTATTCCAGTCTGCCATAAGAGGGGGGCTGATCTTTGGGATTTAGAGGTTGGGGTGGTAGCCTTTTTGGCTGTTTTTGATCTTGTGGGTTTAGTACAAGTAGTACTAGCAGGTGTCTGTTTTTCACTTCCAAGGCTTGAGCTACCAGCATTACCCCCACCACCTACCTTTAATTGCTCAGAGGTAGGGAGGAGGAATAAAATGGCTAGAGGTCTGGCTAGTGTTAGGATCACTTTGATCTGTTAATATGGCAAATTTGTTAGTGGTTGGGATAGTAGGGGATTTTGGAGGAGCTACAACATTGTTGACCATGGGGTTGTGTTAGGATGAAGTTGGGGATTGAGAGGGAGATTATGTGGAAGGGGAATTAAGGTTAGGAACCACAATTTGGGTGTGTGTGTGTGTGTTGGGGAGGGGGGGGGGGGAGAAGGTTATCCAGAGTTGGCATGGGTGGCTGGGAGAGAGGAGGTTATGGAGGTTTGGGTATGTTAAGTCTTGGTGGAAGCTTACGCGGCTTACGGCTAGAACTTCTGCCACGGGTTCTGGGAGGTTCAGCTTGTGTAGGTTGCGGGTTTGAGTTTTTAGGGCAGGTAGTGGGGGCATGCATTATTGAGTTATAGAACGAACAGTGAGAAGGTTTCTAATCGTAAAGCACTGTTAGGGGAAAAGCTTTCACGTCAACAGTGTAGTAAATCTCATCAGGAAGGGGAGAGGTGCTGCTAACCTGGACACAAACCCTAGCAAAGGTAAGTCTGGTTTTTGCAGTAGTAAGAGCGTCCACAGCCAGTGGTATCCCAAAACAGCTCGTGATTTTGGATCAGGTTTTTTTTATTGTGGAGAGGAGTGTTTCATAGTAAGGTCTTCGGTCGATGGAGTATCCGACCAGCGAAAGCGCCCATTCGGGAGATTCGACATTGAACTGTGTAGAAGTGAAATGAGCAGTAGCATTTTCGTTCGGAAAGTGGGAAATTGAAGATGTGAACTCATTCGACAGAAGAGGCTGAGTGGCAATGAGACTCTTCCAATCTCGAGGAAGATGTGAGAGCTCGTTCCTTTGTTTTTCTCTTTTCTGGATCTGATTTTTCCTCCCAGGATCATCCAAGCCGATTTTGGATCGTCCTGGGACGATCAGTGCATGGCAAAAACCCGAGAGCAAGGGTTTTTGGCAAATTAATTATCGGCCTGAAATATCGTCCTGGACGATTGGATTTTGTTCACATCATCCTGGACGATGTGGCGATCGGCCGGGCCGATCAGACTGATGTTATAAGGAAATCAGCTCGATTCGAGGAGAGAGAAAACACTTTTTATAAAATCAAAATATCCGAGGAGAGAGAAAGAGAAGAAAAGCAAAGGAAAAGCTTGGTTTCGGAGGCCGCGGAGCGCTTTTCGTCCGTCGCCGCTGTTGAGCAATTTGTTTATCTTACTAGTTACTAATGGGTCTAAATCATGCTTATGATTGTTAACACTTTTTAAATAATAAAAGTTATTACATGGTAGCTCTAGGATGCATAATATCTTTCTAAGGTGACATTTTTCTTAACCAATATAGTAAGAAAATATGATTATAAATAAATATATTAACTTTATAAGCACTTCTAGCAAGATCTACAACATGTGTCATGCTATCAATGTCTTTAAAAATGAGATTAAAATAATATGGAGCACATGGAGACAAATATATATTTCCATACTTTTCATGTAGTAATTCTTGTGCTTTTTTATAGTTTGTAGCATGTAAATAAGTAATTAATCAAATTTCTGCACCAATCCATTTAACAACTTTAGTAAAGAAATAATATAAAGTGATTATATTTAATATATTACCAAAAATTTGTCTTGATCGGACACGAATCTTGAAGCAAAATTGAGTTGAAAGCTTCCTAAATTAAACCGGGGACCATCCAACTTCGATTTCAGCAAACTTATAATCGAAATGAACGTCTCGAAAGACGAACCCAAACAACACCAAAATAAGTTCAATCTGAGCCCAAATCAAGGGTTCAAAGCACTTTTAGGAGGTTCAAACTATAATTTAGATTACCAAACGAGTTCTAAACATGACATGCTTATATTCAAATCGAGCGGCTTGACAAGATGAATCCAACGAGCCTAAGATCACTGAATTCTAATATCATTAAGGCATTCAAATTACCATTAAATGGTCCGTAATTAAAGGGATCAATATCGGCCGTCTGTTCAAACCACTCCCATTTTGACCTTGATCTTCCACATATTTACATCATGCCACTCTAAAAAAATTATAAATAGACCCCACGCTTCTCATGAGAGGGAGGGGGGAGAAGGAGAAAATGAAAGGAAGAATTTGGGAGCTCTCTTGCCACTGACCACCTCCAGAATCCTTCCCAACCACCACCGCAGTTCTTGTCAACCACCGCCGGAGTTCTTGCTGACCACCGCCGGAATTCATCCCGAACACCACCGAAGTTCTTGCCTACCACCGCTGAAGTTCTTGTCGACTACCACCGGAGTTATTGCCGACCATCGCCGGAGTTATTGCCGACCAATGCCAGAATTCTTCCTGAAC